TGTACTTTTCCTAGGTGTTTCTAATTTGCCTACTTGTTCTTAAATAAACACATTTTTCAGAAAATAGTTTTTATACATTAAAAAAAAATATAAAGCTTACTAATAGCTTCTGCATTATTAAACCAGTGCATTATTTTTTTAGGTTTGTGACACAATATTGGACCATGCAAAACAGAGATTTGCCTTCACAAAGCCTCAGAAGGGCAAAATTTATGTACAAAAAGTAAACATTTACATGAAAATATGTTAATATGTTAATATGTTTTTATAAAGTGTTTTTATGTTTTTTTTTGTTGGCATTCATATAAATATCCTGGTATGATAACTTTTGGCGTGCGTATATTTTGAATTTATAACCCCCCTGGAGAAAACTCCAGCAGCTGCCACTGGTTTAAGGGGTGAACATATCTACTAGATACTGAATTTATCTGTAGTACATGAAATCAAAAAACACTTCAGACAACCTGCAGAGAAAAATTTGCTTATTTCCTTCACCTTGTGAAGATAGACAAATATATTCAGATCTTAACCTGGCATAAATAGTGTTTTTCAGTTTTTATGCACCTGCAATTTAAACAACACTCTTTAATTTGCATTCAACACAGAATTTTCACTAAAGCTCTCATATAATTAAATCCCCCTCTCTTCCCATCACATCACTGAGTTGAGAAAATCTGCAAGGCCTTATCCATCTAATGCCTGTGTGTCTTGGTACCCAAGCTGAGGTCACATCACCGCTCCTGCTCGTTGACAAAATGTAAAGTGTAATATGAAATAATCCTTCACACTGCCAGCATGCAGCCAGAAAGCGGATTGTGCTGAGAACCATTGTCAGTGATAGCTGATCTCTTCTACACATGAGCAAGTCACTTTTCATTGAGTGCCTCTATGTTTTATCGAAAGAAAAGTGGTGCAATATACACCAGTAATAGAGAAAGAACACACAGAACAATCAAAGGACTCATTCCTAACCATACTTCATTTCTCTGTTTAAACACTGCCATTAATATGGCATTTTGCCTCTTTTGAAAAACATCAAACATTTCTTATCCTAGCTTTTCATATGTTATTCTATTTAGCATATAATTTAGTCCTGATATCTCAGTCAATATATTTTTTCTTTTAATTTTAAAATATAATGTAAAACTAAACTGAACCTCACTTTCTTGCTCCTTATACTTTGACTGCATCAGTACACTGCCTGTGTTTTTTTTTTTTGGCTAAACAAACGCTTCACTGCATCGAGTATTTTCCATTTCTATATATATATATATATATATATTATGATCATACATATGATGAAATATGAGGTTCTGTTTTGTAGGATTATGGTTTAATTTATTAAATTAACTTGAACTAGTTCATTTATAGGCTTTTATGAACTTAGCAACATTTTTGAAATGGTAAACTATGAATATGAGCTAGTTCATTTTCATCTGTGTGAACTGAACTTTAAACTAATTCTTTTTCATTATGAACTGGCACAACATTCCTGAAGACCCCAAACCCATCCTACCAGGGCTGATCCAAAACACTACTGGTATAAAGCAATGTACAGTATTTAGATAACGGAAGACATGTTAATTCCTTTCTATTACAAAACCTAATTAAGTTCTTAAAACAACTAAGACAACATTGTGTGTGTATATATATATATATATATATATATATATATATATATATATATTTGTGCAAGATAAATATTTAATCTTTAATGACTAGTAAAGCTACATTCCACCTTTTGGTCAGATTGGCGACGTATTTCTACCCTAGGACGCAAAAATCTGCCCATAGACTCTCGTTAAACGTTGTACATGCGTAGTAGCTCCTCTAGAATACAAAAGTATAATGGAGCTTCCTGAGGTAACAGGAAATGCATTTGCTCAGCACCTCCTGCCACAGCACAGACATTTTGCGGCTGATTGACAGGTCCAGTCGTGGGATTTGGAGACGTATTGGAGAGAGAGAGAGAGATGGCGCAAGAAACATCCTTTTCCAGGACCTGGTTAAGGATGTTTCTT